AGCAGTGTGAGAATGGACTAATACAATCACGATTATGTTGATGATAATAGGTGAGAATGTGGTCACCTATCCTTGCATTCCCGGGAGGGAAATTCATTTATTTGCCACTTGGGCACTGTGGTCTGCCCTCAACTGAGGTGAATGGATATCAATCCAAAGACTAGGACTAAACTTCCAATCAGGCTGAAAGAAAAGGTATCCAAGTAAGACTAAATGTACCCATACATTCTGCGCTATGTTCCATTTAAACAGTTGTTTCTTCATGCACTTCTCTCGCTTCTGTCACTAAGATAAATAATTTGCACTGATAATCACCACAATGATGTTGTTATTATCTTAAATGACAACTAACCATATGGATGCAAGAAGTGTTTCCTGTGGAGGACTGCCTGGTGTCCTGAGCAATGCACACACTGACATCACTTTGAAAGTGATAACACGTAAAGTTAGGTTTTAATTATTTTACTGCGTAACTGAAACATGCAACTTGTCAGTCTTAGAGAATATGAATCCCCTGTCAATAAACAAGATGGAAGATATAAAATAGAGAAAGCATGCCAGGCATTACACAGGGTAATTAGTATACTGTTTATAACTTGCAAGTATATCACCTAGAGTTTTATAAGCAGCATCACATAAATTCTGAAGTTCAGTACTACATGTGGGAATAATTTAAGGGCTCAATTTTGTGATTTCACTGATGATTATTCTGTGATGTTTTAGAAATACTACATAGACTAATGATTTCTGATACCTTCCACTTACACAAATAATATGTTATACTCTACCCCAAGTGCCAACAAAAGAAACTAGTCAAAGAACCAGAAGAATAACCAACTAGGCTTGTACATCTGTCTGTCTGACCATTCCACTATAATTTCTAAAGGAGCTGACTGACCTTTAATAAGTTTTACCAGACTACTTGTGATGTATCATGTCATCTTAAAATTGAGATTTTTAAACATTTTTTTAAGTTTTCAAATGTAAAAACAAACTGTACAACAATTTGTTTATCTATTCCCCTACTGAAGGATATCTTGGTTGCTTCCAAGTTTTGGCTATTATGAATAAAGTTGTTGTAAACATTCACGTTCAGGTTTTTTGTGTGAACTTAAGATTTGAACTCATTTGAGTATACACCATGGGAGGCAATTGCTGAATATTACAATAACAGTATGTTTAATTTTATAAGAAACTGCCAAAATGTCTTCCAAAGTGACTGTACTGTTTTGCCACTCATTGATTATCAATAATAATCTCGTTGATTATCATAATCAGATTATCAATGATAATCTCGTTGATTACCACCAGCAGTCAATGAGAGTTTCTGTTGCTCCACATTCTCACTACCATTAGTGAGGTCAGGGCTTTGTAGTTTAGCCACTGTAGTAGATGTGTAGTGGGATCTCCTTGTTTTAATTTGCAATTCCTTAATAGCAAATGATGTTTAGCATCTTTTCATATGCTTATTTCCCATCTGTATATCTTCTTTGGTGAGGTGGCTGTCCAGATCTTTTGCTCAGTTTTCAGTAGTTTTTTGTTTTCTTGTTGGTGAGTTTTAAGAGTTCTTTGTATATTTTAGGTACAAGTACCTCATCAAATATGAGTTTTGCAAATATTTTCTAACAGTCTGTGGCTTGTTGCCTAATTCTTCTAAGTGGAAGAATTTAGAAACTTCTTATGGAGCAGGAGTTTTAAATTCCAATGAAGTCAAATTTATTTTTTTCATGGATTGTATTTTTGGTGTTTCATCTAAAAAGGTATCACCAAGTCCAAGATCATCTGGATTTTCTCCTGTTATATTCTAGGAATGTTTTTAGTTTTGTCTTTTACATTTAGTTCTATAATCCATTTGGGGGTTATTTTTGTGAAAAGTGTAAGTTCTGTGTCCAGATTCTTTTTTAAAAAAATGTGGATGTTTAACTGTTCCAGCACCATTTACTGAAAGAGTTCATTGATTTTTCTCAAACATAAAAAGATCATTCAACGGAAAAAACATAGTCCTTTCAACAACTGGTGATGGAACAACTGACCAAGACTTTTAACCATATAAAAAATTAACTCCAAATGGATAATATAAATTTATAAAATTTATAAAATGTCTAGAACAAAACGTAGGGGTAAATCTTTATAACCTTGGATTAGACCAAGAGTTCTTTGATATGACACAAAAAGCATAATCATTAAAAGAAAAAATTAATAACTTCACCTAAATGGAAAATGATTGCTGTGCAAAAGTTACTGATAAAAGAATGAAAGATAAGCCACAGATTGGGAGAAAATATTTGCAAATCACATACCTGACAATGACCTTATATTCAGAAAATATGGAGAATTCTCAAAATTCAACGCTAAGAATTATGTCAATAAATGGTTTGAATAGAAAGTTCACCAGAGAAAATATATAGATGACAAACAATATATTTTAAATGTTTAACACTATTATTCATTAGGAAAATGTAGATTTACCAAAATAGGAAATGCCACTAGTCAGGCATCGAAATGGCTAAAATAAAATTTAAGATGACAATACCAATGCTGGTGAGAACTTAGAGCAACTGGAATTCTGGTATAGTGCTGGCAGGATTGCAAAATGACACTGTTTCTCTAGAAAACAATTTGGAAATACACCAGCACAGGATCTTTTCCAGGCCTCGCTCCTAGATTCTTGTAGTTCTTTGGCCTGTGGCAGAACAACTATATTCTTCACATGGTGTTTCAGCCCGTGTGTGTGTGTGTCTATGTCAGAATTTTCCGTATTTATAAGGACAACAATCATATTGGATTAGGGGGTCCACTCTACTTAGTATGACTTCACATTCACGATTTACATCTGCCAACAATCCTATTTCTAAATAATGTCACATTCTGAAATAAAGAGGTTAGTATTTCAACATATTAATGGTGGAAGGAAGGGAGAAAGGACTTAATTTAAGCCATTACAGTCCTATTAGAAAGACCAAAATCAAAAGACTGAACCATGCTCTGTGCTAAAGAGGATGTGGAACAACTAGAATCCTCATACGCGGCTGGTGGGAATGTAAATTGTGCAACAACGTTGGGAAACAGTTTGGCAGTTTGTTAAAAAGTTATGCTCATTCCTACCATATAAACCAACTATTCAACTGCTATTGTTTACCTGAAATAAAAGCATTCACCATATAAATATACACATTTCATTGTATCCTCTTTTGAACCAGGTGCGTCATCCTGCGAATTCCCTCATTAGCAACTTAACTAAATCACTACGCATTTGTAGAAAAAATAAATAAGTAAATGAATAACAGCATACAACCAAGCAAAAATGCAGTTGTACTTGCCCAAAACTGGAAACAGCCCAAATGTCTATCAACAGGTGAATAAATAAATTGTGATATATCCATACCATGGAATACTACCTAGCAATAGAAAAGCTGTACGGCTGATACACAACAATTTGAATTTGCATGTGGAAATAATTATGCTGAGTGAAAGAAGCCAGACCAAAAAAGAGTACATAATATATGATTCCATATATCTCCAATTCTACATAATGAAAAGTAGTCCATGGTGGGGGGAAAAAACAGATGGGTGACTGACTAGAGACAGGAGGAAGAGAAACAGAAGTAAGAAGTACAAAAGCACACAAGGAAAATTTTGGGAGTGATGGACTGTTATCTTGATTGAGGTGATAATTTCAAAGCAATATACATATGTAAAAATTTATCAAGTTGAACATTTTATATCAACTACACCTCAATAAAGCTGTTAAAAATCCCCTGACTTAACTGTAAGGTTATTATACTTTTTTTAATTATAATTTAAGTTCTGGGATACGTGCAGAATGTGCATGTTTGTAACATACGTATACATGTGCCATCTCTAATATACTTATTTTACATCTCCAAAGTACCTGCCACAAAGCTACATGCAGAATATACTCACTGTAAACTTGTTGGATGAAAAGAATGCTAATAAAAAACTATTAATAAATATATTAATTTCTCTCAAAAATGCATTTCTAAGCATCTAGTAGTCTGTGTAGGTGTGTAGAATAAACAACAATGTAAGATAATACAACATAAGAGTTTCTAAAGTCTCATTTGCATAAAAATTACCTGATAAATATAATATAGTTTTATCTGTTTGTTAAAATAGTGTTTATTAGAATATTTTCTCTGAAGGTTCCTATTAAATGATGCTGCTGATATAATTTGATCTTAACTTTTTAAAAACATAGTTCTGTAATCTATAACCTGTATTATATGCTTAGTTTTATCTTATTATTATTATTAGCTTAAACTAGCTGTACTTTCTTTCCATTCCTTGTCTGAGGAAATCAAAAGTAGCATAGTTCTTTTTTTGTCAACTGGAACATTTTAAAAGTCAGTTTCTAAAATTTTTACTTCTTGTATGTAGCCTTATTCCACTCTCCCAAAATAAGGACTTTCCTTCTTTCTTCCCATTTCCACCTATCCCTAGACTATAGTCCAGTATTTCTTTAGCATGTACATTAGTAATACAGTGTCAATTTTGGTCAGTCATCCTTTTAATAGGCATGGTGAAAACTCTGTATTTTTTCTTCTAACAGCCTATAATTTGTTTTAAAATTACAGCTATATTCCCTACCCTGAGGATATATTAAGAAGATAAAAGATTGTATATATTAGTTAGTATACATATATTAGCTGTCATCTTATTACACTTATTCTTATGCAACAATAGCTTCCTTATTAAAAATAATTTTAGTAAGTTGCATCTTGGGTCTTCCTGTGTGATTTATATGATAGATTTTATGATAGCATCTTTACCAAATCTCAATTTGCAAAAACTCTGGAATGTGATACTGTATAATAAAACATTGCCTTGAGATATTAATTAGGTGATAAAAATGCTACGTAAGATTCATTTGTAATATGTAAACTGATAGTTTCAGCTTCATGCCCTGTAATTACAGGGAAATATGAAACTCATGCCTACCCCCTGCAGGGAAAAAAATGCAGAAGAACAAAAAAATTTACCTTTCATTATTCCAGCAGCCAAAATATGATGGCATACGATGGTGATCTTCTAAGTACAAATCAACACAAAATAATCACTCCTTCCAGGGAATAGATCCAGATGTTCTGTCAGGGACCAGCAATCCTGGGCAAGCACAAAAGATGCCAGTGACTCTACACAGATCTGTATCAGACACAAAATTGCTATAAATTTTCTATCTGTAACTGGCCTTTCCCTTGTCAGTTTTTGTCCAGTACTCCTTTTCTGTCACTCAAGTATAATTTTTTTACATGGATAGATAGCATAGTGATAAAGTTGGAGCTTTTAGTGTATCTATCTAGAATAATGTACACAGTACCCATTAAGTAATTTCTTGTTATCCAGTCTCTCCCACCTCCCACTACCCTTCTGAGTCTCCAACTTCTATCATTCCACACTCTATGTCCATGCATACACATTATTTTAGCTCCCACTTATAAGTGAGAACCTGTGGTATTTGATTTTATGTGTCTGGGTTGTTACACTGAAGATAATGACCTCTGATTTCATTCATGTGGCTGCAAAAGACATTATTTTACTCTTTTTTGTGGCAATATAGTAATTGATTGGGTATATATATCATATTTTCCTTATCTAATGATCCTTTGATGGACACTTAGATTGACACCTTATCTTTGGTTTCTGCAATAAACATTAAAGTGCAGGTATCCTTTTTACATAATGATTTATTTTTCTTTGGGTAGATACCCAGAAGTGGGATTGCTAGATCAAATGGTAGTTCTATTTTTAGTTCTTTGAGAACTCTCCACACTGCCTTCCATTGATGTTGTACTAATTTGCATTCCCACGAACAGTGTATAAGCATTCCCTTTCCCCTGCATCCTCATCAACATCTGCTACTTTTGTTTTTTTAGCAATAGCCATTCTAACTAGTATAACATGATAACTCATTGTGGTTTTAATTTGCATTTCTCTGATGTTTAGTGATAATGAGCATTTTCTCCAGTGCTTGTTCACCATTTAAATGTCTTCTTTTGAAAAATGTCCATTCATGCTTTTTGCCCACTTTTTTTAGTTGTACTTTAAGTTCTGGGGTATATGTCCAAATCTTGCAGGATTGTTGCTCAGATGCATACATGCCATGGTGGTTTGCTGTCTCCATCCTTCCATCACCTACATCAGGCATTTCTCCCAGTGTTATCCCTCCCCAACCTCTCCACCTTGCCCCCCACTCCCAACAGTCCCCAGTGTGTGACAGTCCTCTCCCTGTGCCCATGTTTTCTTGTTGTTCAACACCTGTCTATGAGTGAGAACATGCGGTGTTTGGTTTTCTGTTCTTGTGTCAGTTTGCTGAGAATGATGGTTTCCAGATTCATCCATGTCCTACAAAGGGCATGAACTCAAGTTTTTCATGGCTGCATAGTATTTCACAGTATATATGTGCCATATTTTCTTTGTCCAGTCTATCACTGATGGGTATTTGGGTTGGGTCCAGGTCTTTAATGGTAAAGGGATCGATGCACCAAGAAAAGATAACTATCCTAAATATATATGCACCCAATGCAGGAGCACCCAGATTCATAAAGAAAGTTCTTAGAGACCTACAAAAAAATTTAGACTTGCACAATAATAGTGGGAGACTTTAACACCCCACTGCCAATATTAGACACATGAACATGTATGTTTATTGCAGCACAATTCACAATTGCAAAGACATGCAACCAATCTAAGAGCCCATTGACCAATGAATGGATTAAAAAACATGGTATATATACACTGTGGAATAATACTTGGCCATAAAAAGAAACAAGATAATATTATTGCAGCAACCTGGATGGATCTGGAGACCATTAATCTAAATGAATTAACTCAGGAATGGAAAAGGAAATAGCATATGTCCTCACTTGTAAGTGAGAGCTAAGCTCTTAGTACATAAATGTATACAGAGTAATATAATGGACTTTGGAGACTCAGAAATGGAGGGGTGGAAGGGAGGTGAGGAAAAACTACATATTAGGCACAAGATACACCACTCAGGTGACAGATGCACCAAATCTCAAAATTCACTACTGTACAATTCATTCATGTAACCAAAAACCGCTAGTACCCCAAAGCTATTGAAATTTAAAAATATATTTTAAAATAAAATAAAATAAATTATTTTGCTTTTAACTTTTATACTAGAGCTAAAAGTGATTTACACATCACCATTTCAGCATGACAGTATTCTGTATTTGTCTATTTATTTACCTTTGCCAGTGATTTTTTTTGTGTGTATGATGCTGTTCCATTTCAACTTGCCTTTCATTCAACTTGAAGGATTTACTGAAGCAACACTAGCATTTCTTGTAAGACAGGTCTAGTGTGAAGCTTATTTATTTAAATAAATGTTTCCCTTTTTTTTTCTTTCTCTTTTCTGGTACCCTCAACACATTCTGAAGGACAGATTTGCCATTCATCGTATTCTTGGCTGGCAGGGTTTTTTTCTTTCGGAACTTTGAATGTACCATTCCACTCACTTCTGGCCTTAAAAATTTTCTGCTGAGAAATAATAAATAGTCCTATGAAAGCTCCCTTGTGTGTGACAAGTTATTTTACCCTTGATGCTCCCAAAATTCTTTGTCATTGTCTTTTGACAACTTAATGATAATGTGTCTCAGGTGCTGTTCCTTGTACCTTTGTATTGGTGGCTGCAAATCTGAAGAAATGGAGCCACCTCTCCCAATCTTTATGGACTGGCTTTGACAGGGAAAGATCTTCACCAGTTAACCTAGCTAGAGATTCTGGAAGCAGCTTAAACCTTTTCTATAAAGGTGTCTTCTCTTTATTTGTGCATATAAATTCTTAAATAAAAGGATTTACCAATTTCTTTTTTTTTAAGAGCCCATAGTATCTTGCTTCCTCTGGTATCTGGCTGCTATATCAGGGTCAGGACTTACAGGCACACTTCACTCCTCTCCCTGTTTTCCTATGGAAAAGCCATGAGTTCTATGCTTTCTCCCTTTCTTGCAAAGCCACTCTCGGCATAGTAAGCAACCTGCCCAGTTTCCTTTGTTCTTAGCTGTCCCTACCAAACTAAGATACTTCTGTCAACACTCTGGGTAAAGTGAGACAGAAACCAGTCCCTCAGACAGTATATTGAAAGTCCAAGATGCTGAAAACACACTCCATTCCTCTTCCTCCCTTTCGAGGGAAAAGTCAGAGGGCTGTGTGCCTTCTCTCAATCTTACAGAGCCATGTCAGCAGCAATAAACTACCAACCACTTTTCTTTGTTCTTAGTTTACTCCAGGTATCTAAGATTCCAGTTCTGTTCATGCTTCATGTGAGGCAAGACAGAAAACAGCCCTAGGGAAACACACTGAAAAGTCTGAGACATGGATGCACACTCTGCTCTCTCTTTCCCCCAAGGGATAAATCATGGGCTGAGGCAATCTCTCTCAGTGGCGAGTGTGCTAGGTTGAGCAGGAGCTGCCACAGGTAAAGTAAAATTGCTCTTCATACCTGTTTCAGTGTGGCTGTTCTTGGTCTTTTGCTCAACTGGGGTATTACAACTTTGTAACTGAATTCTAGACCTTTTATAAAGATACTATGGTGCATAAATCACTGTCAAATTCATTTCTACGGGAGGACAAGGGCTGAGACTTCCTATTCTGCCATCTTCCTTATATCACTCTTCAAGGCAGGTATTTTGAAATCTTTAAGGCCCCATTTTGTAAATGGCAAAATTGACATCCAGAGAGCTTACGTAATTTGTCTATTTCAAACAAATGGAAGAAATGGAGTCAAAATTTTAATTCATGTAGCTTGACTAAAACATCAACAGCATGACAACTCTTCACCACTGCTTGCTATTTACCGATTTTTTTTCCTAATTACTAAAAATTCTGCCTTCTTACACAGAAATCATTATTCATTTTTAAATACCCTATAAGAATATATTTTTAGAAATGAAATCACCAAGTCAATGGCACAACCATTAGAAATACTGATTTGTCAACATACAGTCTTTCATTTTGGTTAAATAAATTTCTCACACTAAATATGAATTAATAGCATAAATATTTTCCATGGTTTTCAATCTAAGAACTTAAAAGTAATACTCAATTTTTTATTTGCTGCTCTCATTATTAAATTGAAAATCTTTATATATGCTTACATGCCACTTTTTGGTTTGTTTTGTTTTGTTTTTAACTTTTATTTTAAGTTCAGGGGTACATGTGCAGTTTGTTATAAAGGTAAACTTGTGTCGTGGGGGTTTGTTATACAGATTATTTTGTCACCCTGGCATTAAGCCCAGTACCCATTAGTTATTTTTCCTGACCCCTCTCTCCTCGCTCTTTTATTTTTTTCTTTTCTACATTGCCTAATCATATGGTTTCATTTTTAATGGTTTACTGGTCTTTTCTTTTTATTGATAAGAATTTTCTGTTTTATAAAAATATTAAAGCCTTGTCATACATTTTGCAAATTTTTTTTCTATCTTGTCTTTCAATTTTAGTGTTTTAGTGGATTTTACTCTGTGTGTGTGTGTGCGTGTGTGTGTGTGTGTGCGCACGCGCGCACGTGCGTGCGCACATATGTGCCCTTATTCAGGCTATCCTAACATACTCTAAAATAATTTTTAATTATATATTTTTCAAACAATTAGTCAGTACCCCAACATAATTTAATTAGAGACAAGTCCATTTTTTCTCCCTGATTGAAATTCTACCTTTTTTTATATTAAATCCTCTGATAACTTTGTTGTACTTCTGAATTCAATTTCCCTCTATTGCTCTATTTTCTCTTGTGTCATTATCATACTATTTTAATTCCAAGCATTGGTACTATTATCTATTAGTTGTTTCATTTGTATTATATCTTTTGTGCCCAACCAGATTCTAAGCTCCTTGAAATCAAAGACTAGAACTTATATTTGGGCCTGTTTGCATGTGTATCCTCAAAAGCACCTGAAACAATATTATACACTCACAGAGCTAAAATTTGTCTGAACCTAGTCTCAGAATTTCATATCAGATCTATCAATCCATAGATAAATATGAAAGCTTTCAAACCTTTGCTACATATAGAGGAGTAGAAATATCTCTGGAACCATCTTAATCAATAATAGAGATAAATGATCCATTATATTTTATTTTTCC